CAGTTTTATTTGTTTAATTATTTTTTTCCCGAATTTACTTCCAGAAAACTGTTTTAGGCAGACATTAACAGAAACATTACATAAATGTATAGAGATATAACACATTGATGAAGTAAAAACACCTGTCAAATACCAGAGATAACACATTGATGAAGTAAAAAAAACCTGTCAAATATCAGAGATAACACATTGATGAAGTAAAAACACCTGTCAAATACCAGGGATAACACATTGATGAAGTAAAAACACCTGTCAAATACCAGAGATAACACATTAATGACGTAAAAACACCTGTCAAATACCAGGGATAACACATTGATGAAGTAAAAACACCTGTCAAATATCAGAGATAACACATTGATGAAGTAAAAACACCTGTCAAATACCAGAGATAACACATTGATGAAGTAAAAACACCTGTCAAATACCAGACATACCACATTGATGAAGTAAAAACACCTTTCAAATACCAGAGATAACACATTGATGAAGTAAAAACACCTGTCAAATACCAGAGATAACACATTGATGCAGTTAAAACACCTGTCAAATACCAGAGAAAACACATTGATGCAGTTAAAACACCTGTCAAATACCAGGGATAACACATTGATGAAGTAAAAACACCTGTCAAATACCAGAGATAACACATTGATGAAGTAAAAACACCTGTCAAATACACATTGATGAAGTAAAAAGAAATACCAGATAACACATTGATGAAGTAAAAACACCTTTCAAATACCAGAGATAACACATTGATGAAGTAAAAACACCTGTCAAATACCAGAGATAACACATTGATGAAGTAAAAACACCTGTCAAATACCAGAGATAACACATTGATGAAGTAAAAACACATGTCAAATACCAGAGATAACACATTGATGAAGTAAAAACACCTGTCAAATACCAGAGATAACACATTGATGAAGTGAAAACACCTGTCAAATACCAGAGATAACACATTGATGCAGTTAAAACACCTGTCAAATACCAGAGATAACACATTGATGAAGTAAAAACACCTGTCAAATACCAGAGATAACACATTGATGAAGTAAAAACACCTGTCAAATACCAGAGATAACACATTGATGAAGTAAAAACACCTTTCAAATACCAGAGATAACACATTGATGAAGTAAAAACACCTGTCAAATACCAGAGATAACACATTGAAGAGTAAAAACACATTGATGAAGTAAAAACACATGTCAAATAACAGAGATAACACATTGATGAAGTAAAAACACCTGTCAAATACCAGGGATAACACATTGATGAAGTAAAAACACCTGTCAAATACCAGGGATAACACATTGATGAAGTAAAAACACCTGTCAAATACCAGAGAAAACACATTGATGAAGTAAAAACACCTGTCAAATACCAGAGAAAACACATTGATGAAGTAAAAACACCTGTCAAATACCAGGGATAACACATTGATGAAGTAAAAACACCTGTCAAATACCAGAGATAACACATTGATGAAGTAAAAACACCTGTCAAATACCAGAGATAACACATTGATGAAGTAAAAACACATGTCAAATACCGGAGATAACACATTGATGAAGTAAAAACACCTGTCAAATACCAGAGAAAACACATTGATGAAGTAAAAACACCTGTCAAATACCAGGGATAACACATTGATGAAGTAAAAACACCTGTCAAATACCAGAGATAACACATTGATGAAGTAAAAACACCTGTCAAATACCAGAGATAACACATTGATGAAGTTAAAACACCTTTCAAATACCAGAGATAACACATTGATGAAGTAAAAACACCTGTCAAATACCAGGGATAACACATTGATGAAGTAAAAACACCTGTCAAATACCAGAGATAACACATTGATGAAGTAAAAACACCTGTCAAATACCAGAGATAACACATTGATGAAGTAAAAACACCTGTCAAATACCAGAGATAACACATTGATGAAGTAAAAACACCTGTCAAATACCAGAGAAAACACATTGATGAAGTAAAAACACCTGTCAAATACCAGAGATAACACATTGATGAAGTAAAAACACCTGTCAAATACCAGAGATAACACATTGATGAAGTAAAAACACCTGTCAAATACCAGAGATAACACATTGATGAAGTAAAAACACCTGTCAAATACCAGAGATAACACATTGATGAAGTAAAAACACCTGTCAAATACCAGAGATAACACATTGATGAAGTAAAAACACCTGTCAAATACCAGAGATAACACATTGATGAAGTAAAAACACCTGTCAAATACCAGGGATAACACATTGATGAAGTAAAAACACCTGTCAAATACCAGAGATAACACATTGATGAAGTAAAAACACCTGTCAAATACCAGAGATAACACATTGATGAAGTAAAAACACCTGTCAAATACCAGAGATAACACATTGATGAAGTAAAAACACCTGTCAAATACCAGAGATAACACATTGATGAAGTAAAAACACCTGTCAAATACCAGGGATAACACATTGATGAAGTAAAAACACCTGTCAAATACCAGAGAAAACACATTGATGAAGTAAAAACACCTGTCAAATACCAGGGATAACACATTGATGAAGTAAAAACACCTGTCAAATACCAGAGATAACACATTGATGAAGTAAAAACACCTGTCAAATACCAGAGATAACACATTGATGAAGTAAAAACACCTGTCAAATACCAGAGATAACACATTGATGAAGTAAAAACACCTGTCAAATACCAGAGATAACACATTGATGAAGTAAAAACACCTGTCAAATACCAGGGATAACACATTGATGAAGTAAAAACACCTGTCAAATACCAGGGATAACACATTGATGAAGTAAAAACACCTGTCAAATACCAGAGAAAACACATTGATGAAGTAAAAACACCTGTCAAATACCAGGGATAACACATTGATGAAGTAAAAACACCTGTCAAATACCAGAGATAACACATTGATGAAGTAAAAACACCTGTCAAATACCAGAGATAACACATTGATGAAGTAAAAACACCTGTCAAATACCAGCGATAACACATTGGTCTTCCGTCGGAGTCTTTTTTTATAAGGGGGAGAATGACTATATAACATATTCTAATGGTGTTGTTTTCAGTATGTTGAACTGAACAATATACCACAAGTTATCTTAAAGAAAAAAAGTCTAACATTACATCCATTTTTCATTATTAAAAAAGATTTCATTTTATTTCTTTTCAAAAGTTTATTTCTCATAAAGAAATCTCGTTGTGTACGAGTGTACTGATCACTTCAACTGATGGAAACGAAATCACTAGAATAAAAACCATTGAACCCATTGTGTTAGCTCCCTTTAATTAGTTTTGCCGGTTCAATACATTTCTTATACATGCGAGTTTTTTTTAAAAATACAACATTTGTTTACATTAGTATACTTACATACACATATAAATATATAATATACTTTAGAAGAGAACCCCAAAACGATTTAAATCAGATCACTTTTTACCGTATATCTCAGTTCGTGTTCTGAGAAACGGTCTGTCATGTCGCGGTTGTGTTCTAGGACAAGACATTTTGCCCTTATTACCTTTTATTACACGAGGCGGGCCTCCCGTATGTTGTTCATTGGGGTGCATTGGGGCACATGGATTCGGCACGAATTTATATACCTCAGGGGTAAACACCAGGTACAACTACAAAGAAAATCCATCTCCACCATTAGTAGGGCTAATTACACTAATGTAGTAAAATGGTTAGGTGTACCAAGTAGCAAGCTAGATAAGATCGAAAAAGACATGTCTATCCAGGAATGAACAAATACCCTTTGTCCGTATCTAAAATGTCTCGGAGACCATAATTGTTCATTCTTACCAGTGAATAAGTTAAGTTAACACCTACATGTTATTAAACCGCATTGTTCTATCTGCAGAGAATAGTTAAGTTTACAAACGTGACACGTATGTCTTAAATTTACATGTACATACTTGAACTACAGTCATGTAAAGCCTAGTCAACTTAAGTAATACCTAAAATAATATGTAATCAATTTTAGCCTGTTCATTGGTTTGATACCATCAGCAGTAAGTAACAATCAAAGCACTTTCTCAAAACTCAATTATGAAAATTATTTTAGGTATTACTTAAGTTGACTAGGCTTTACATGACTGTAGTTCATGCTTGATAAAACTTATTGCATATGTACAGTAATTATGTGACCGAACGAAGTTTATTGTTGGGATTGATCTGCTGATGTTCATGGATGATGAACGCAATATATCAGCGGTTATACACTGGTATGCAACAGGCAGGAAGAAATCATTGATTTACATATATATCTAAATGTTTTATCAAGGACCTAGAAGGAAATTAAAACAAATATTATCAGGAAATGTCTCTTTCTAGATCGATAGCCGAGACCTTAAACCTGAAATTTCACGTACTAGTATCTGTTTTCTCCTTGTTCAACTGAACCTTGAAACGTAGCCATTTAAAATTCTACATACAATCCCTCTATAGATGATTAGGGTAAATAAAAGTAATTAAGGCAACGGCACACAGATATGTATGTCGAAAAACGAATGGATATATAGATGTATAATGTAGTGTAATATAGACACGATAACTACATCAATAAATCGCCAACAAAGTACTCTACATGAATATGTCGATCGAATTCAACTGTTACTAAACTGGAGACCTGATTTATGAAAAAAAGTTTCCGGATATGGTTGTGTGTTGTGCTCAGCTTAATATTCGAATGGAATGATGAAATACAGGCTGTTTTAATGACTTTTTACCTCGTGTGTTTTGATTTACTCTTTGTGAACTGATAAACTAATTTCTTGTTGGAAGTGACGCATTCAGTTGAAATTATTGTTAATACAGAGATTTATCTAGTCGTTTTGAGGAAGGGCGTTAAGAGTTGAATTCCGTTTACATCGAGATCACTTTACATTACATATTACTTCCTGGTAAAGGAAAACAATTTAACACTAGTAAACAGGCAACACACGAGGTTGTTACAAAATGGCTACTGGTTCCTTTCTGGTGGTGACAATCTGTGCAGTGATCTCAGTGAGAGGTAAATATATTTCAATATATTTATATATATCAATATGTAAGTACTGTATGATCATGTAGTCTACGGTGACATAACTGGAGATCCACTGACCCAGTGTACAGTTGCAGGTGTGACTGTTTAAATGTGTAGTAGACATGTCGCTAAATATCTTTTTAAACAACGTGTGTCAAGCCTGGAATGTCTATCGTCAGCGTATTAGATATTGTTTGCTTTTAAATTAATTTATAATTAATTAATAGGTATTCACGAATCTCCAATGATTTACCGAGGAAATGTGAACCGATTATCAACAACCAATTAACAATCACGTTAGTGATGCTTAAAGTCGTTTTCTAAACTCATGTTTTTATTATTACAGAAAGAGAGTTCAGTTATCTATTTATTTTTACTTTTCTTAAGTCAAACTCGATAATTCTTCCTTAAACATTTTCTAGACACGTGGTACATAACCGAGGGTTTACAGGGGTTTAAGTTAAGGATAGCCGGATGTTGTTTGAAAGCGTTGAAATATAGACATAACGGGCGAGTTTACTGGGTCAACATAACAATAAGATAGGGTTGTTTATGTTGTTAAACTGAAATCGGATTTCCCAAGAATTTTCTGAACTTTCCATCACAGGTAGTAAAGGGATTGTATCAACTAAACTTCGTTACATTATTCCACACTGAAGTTATGTATTAATCAATAGCTTGAGGTGATATTCAGTTTAACTATGCGTACCAGTAGACCTAAATATTGAGCTGGTGTTGCCGGGGCAATGGCATCCAATCCCAGGTCAGTATGTATCACCGATGTGTGTATATATCACCGATGTGTGTATGTACCACCGAGGTGTGAATGTACCACCAATGTGTGTGTATGTATCACCGAGGTGTTCACCGAGGTGTGTATGTACCACCGAGGTGTGTATGTACCACCGAGGTGTGAATGTACCTACGAGGTGTGAATGTACCACCAATGTGTGTTATGTATCACCGAGGTGTGTATGTACCACCGAGGTGTGAATGTACCACCAGTGTGTGTATGTATCACCGAGGTGTTCACCGAGGTGTGTATGTACCACCGATGTGTGTATGTATCACCGATGTGTGTATGTATCACCGAGGTGTGTATGTATCACCGATGTGTGTATATATCACCGATGTGTGTATGTATCACCGAGGTGTGTATGTATCAGAACTGTGTGTATGTACCACCGCGGTGTGTATGTATCACCGAGGTGTGTATGTATCATCGATGTGTGTATGTACCACCGAGGTGTGTACGTACCACCGAGGTGAGAATGTACCACCAATGTGTTTATGTATCACCGAGGTGTTCAACGAGGTGTGTATGTACCACCGATGTGTGTATGTATCAACGAGGTGTGTATGTACCACCGACGTGTGTATGTACCACCGATGTGTGTGTGTACCACCGAGGTGTGTACGTACCACCGAGGTGAGAATGTACCACCAATGTGTTTATGTATCACCGAGGTGTTCAACGAGGTGTGTATGTACCACCGATGTGTGTATGTATCAACGAGGTGTGCATGTATCAAAAATGTGTGTATGTACCACCGAGGTGTGTATGTATCACAGAGGTGTGTATGTATCACAGAGGTGTGCATGTATCAAAAATGTGTGTATGTACCACCGAGGTGTGTATGTATCACAGAGGTGTGTATGTATCACCGATGTGTGTATGTACCACCGAGGTGTGTATGTATCACCGAGGTGTGTATATATCACCGAGGTGTGTATGTATCACCAAGGTGTGTATATATCACCGATGTGTGTATGTACCACCGATGTGTTCATGTACCACTGAGGTGTGTATGTACTACCGAGGTGTGTATGTACCACCGAGGTGTGTATATATCACCGAGGTGTGTGTATATATCACCGAGATGTGTGTATGTACCACCGAGGTGTGTATGTACCATCGAGGTGTGTGTATGTACCACCGATGTGTGTATGTACCACCGAGGTGTGTATGTACTACCGAGGTGTGTGTATGTACCACCGAGGTGTGTATATATCACCGAGGTGTGTGTATATATCACCGAGAAGTGTGTATGTACCACCGAGGTGTGTATGTACCACCGAAGTGTGTGTATATCAACGAGGTGTGTATGTTATATCGAGGTGAGGTGTGTATGTACCACCGAAGTGTGTGTATATCAACGAGGTGTGTATGTATCACCGAGGTGTGTATGTACCACCGAGGTGTGTATGTATCAACGAGGTGTGTATGTACCACCGAGGTGTGTATGTATCAACGAGGTGTGTATGTACCACCGAGATGTGTGTATATATCACCGAGGTGTGTCTATTTGTTACGTGTCTATTTGTTACAACGTGCCTATGTGTTACAACGTGTCTATTTGTTACAACGTGTCTATTTGTGACGTGTCTATTTGTTACAATGTGTCTATTTGTGACGTGTCTATTTGTTACAACGTGTCTATTTGTGACGTGTCTATTTGTTACAATGTGTCTATTTGTGACGTGTCTATTTGTTACATCGTGTCTATTTGTTACGTGTCTATTTGTTACAACGTGCTTATGTGTTACATCGTGTCTATTTGTTACAACGTGTCTATTTGTGACGTGTCTATTTGTTACAATGTGTCTATTTGTGACGTGTCTATTTGTTACAACGTGCCTATGTGTTACAACGTGTCTATTTGTGACGTGTCTATTTGTTACAACGTGTCTATTTGTTAAGTGTCTATTTGTTACGTGTCTATTTGTTACTACGTGTCTATTTGTTACGTGTCTATTTGTTACGTGTCTATTTGTTACTACGTGTCTATTTGTTACGTGTCTATTTGTTACAACGTGTCTATTTGTGACGTGTCTATTTGTTACAACGTGTCTATTTGTTGCGTGTCTATTTGTGACGTGTCTATTTGTTACAACGTGTCTATTTGTTACTACGTGTCTATTTGTTACGTGTCTATTTGTTACAACGTGTCTATTTGTTACAACGTGTCTATTTGTTACGTGTCTATTTGTTACAACGTGTCTATTTGTTAAGTGTCTATTTGTTGCGTGTCTATTTGTGACGTGTCTATTTGTTACAACGTGTCTATTTGTTACTACGTGTCTATTTGTTACGTGTCTATTTGTTACAAAGTGACTATTTGTTACGTGTCTATTTGTTACAACGTGTCTATTTGTTACAATGTGTCTATTTTTTACAACGTGTCTATTTTTTACATGTCTATTTGTTACAACGTGTCTATTTTTTACAACATGTCTATTTGTTACAACGTGTCTATTTGTTACAACGTGTCCATTTTTTACAACATGTCTATTTGTTACAACGTGTCTATTTTTTACAACGTGTATATTTTTTACAACATGTCTATTGGTTACATGACTATGTGTTACAACATGTCTATTTTTTACAACGTGTCTATTTTTTACAACATGTCTATTTTTTACAACGTGTCTATTTGTTACAACATGTCTATTTGTTACAACGTGACTATTTGTTACGTGACTATGTTTTACAACGTGGATATTTGTTACAATAGCATCGAGATGTAACCTAGAAGATACGACGTATTTTATGACAAGTGGTTAAAGTATTTTATAACAGACTGTGGCATACCTAACAAGGTATTGTGTGCAAAATCGTGAGAATTTAATGCACCAGTAGTTGCAACAAACTGGAATGCTATGTTATATCATAGATAGTTACAAATGTTAAAAATACGATGTGCTCTGTTTAACTTTTCCTATTTTGGTGGTTTTCGGTTCTCAGGAAACTAAAAATGGACCGGTCTGTCAGGTTGCTGTTGTGTTATTTGGTGTTTTACCTTCACTGATCTGGATGGCATGTGACGGTTATGCTGTTCATTGAGGTAGCCAGTTGATGCTACAAAAATAGCCAGTCTAAAAATAACCCTGGTTGTTCAAGTGGCCAAAAATAAACAACCAAACCAACCAACCAACCAACTGACAGACCGACGGACGGCGAGGCGGACGGACGGACTGACAGACAGACAGACAGACAGACAGACAGTTTATCTAATCTTATTCTGTAATTTATTCAGTATATGATTAAATATTGATATTGATTAAATCACGGATAAATGGAAAACCATTTTCTGTATTTCAGTGTTTGACTTAACTGATTCTGTCTAACCTGAATCTTCATGGACTTATTAACTCCACATAGCATAACACAGCTGTATGCAACAGATGTGTTTGTTATTACACAACAACTTCTCATCCACAGCTTATTATTCTTTTCACTAGTGCGCCATGCATACACTACTCTTTGAGTGAATGCTATACATGACGGTAATATACTTCAGTATGACTGAGAGAGAAACGAGATATTTATATAAAAACATATCAAGAATTTACAACGTGCCAGATTAGGCCAGACCGGTTAACTATGAAAATGTCCAACAACAACAGCGTTCTTTCTGACAACACCCTGAGTACCAAAGAGAATTCGATACTATCTCCAGGCTTCAATTTCTGCTCTATCCTACGGAATCCCAACGACGCGGTATAGTTGTAGGGTAGGCTGTAGGCTTCTACAGACAAAAACTAAATAAAGGATGGCTGCCACTCTGCCCAGTAAACCCATATAAGTACACGGGAGCCGCCATCCAGTAAATTCCAGCTCTGGAAGCCTTTATAGACGCGGTAAAACAGGAGATATCCGAAAATTGTACCAAAACCCATAAACAAAGGTCCCGCAGTGGTTGTCATGAACCGAGATGATGACATTAAGAAGGCCAATCGCCAGTTATCAAATGAGACATTCTACCGCAAAGTACATACTGATTTGATGTCATGCGCGAACGGTCAATACACCGCCGTTACAAACGTCATTGATCATCCCACATTGATTTGCATGAGGATGTTTTAAGATACACACGTCATACTCTGCTGTTATTTAACCTAACAACAAAGTAACAAAATGAACATCTATTTAGTCACTCAAGATATCTTTTATTTCCTGTATGGCTGACAATAGAAGTTTCTTCATAAATACAAGGATTAACTCTCTATCTCATTTAGGTTACCGAGTGATTTAATGAAGGAAGTTTGAATATTGTCGATTCCGGTTATGCATATTTTACCTCTTCATGCTAATGTGACGGATATAGATATAGACAAGGTAAAATTGCTTTTCAATCCGAGTCAGTATTGACGGGAACTATTTATATGAATATGCACTTTCATTAAACAGGAAGTTCACCGTTCACGTTGTCAACGGAGGAGAAAAGTTGGTATGAAGCCATGGACGTATGCACCGAAAACGGAAGTATCCTTGCCAATACTCGTGAAAGTAATACACAGATAGAAGATGTTTTAAAAGAATCCAACGTCAGCGACGTCTGGACCAGTGATCGCACTTTTCTGTCTTACTGGGTGGCTAATCAAGGTGAGATTAATCTCATTTCCTGCAGGTTCGTAATGTCAATATGTTAGAAATTGTTATAACACAACCAGTAGAAGGTTTGAGTGTAACGTTTCATTGACAACATGGTCACCTTTGTCAGGCTTTGTTCAAAGTACAGTACATTGTTACCATCTTGTTAAATATTTTTAATCTTCTACTGGCCGCCATATTGGGAAGGAAACCTCTCACGAAATTTGGTGAACATAGTCATCTCACACGCACACTTTATAAGTATATATCTTTGTATAGATGTACATGTTTATACTGAATTTATTTGCCTCATTTTTTTTCTGTTTGCTGATTCGATCTCATTTGTTTCAAGGTTGTCATTGGGGTAATTTGACAAACATTTTGGGAAAGAAAGTCACTTCGCCAAAAGTCGGCCAGTGTCAACAACATTGTCAATCAAATGGAAGCGGGTATTTCTCTATACAGGTAATTCCGTGTTAGTTATTTGTATGGGAAGACTTTTACCAATTAAGGAAACTTATGAACATATTACTCGTTCATAACACATTCAATTAGCTTGTATACAGTAACGTGTTTATCAAAAAGTGCCAGGGAAAATTTGAATTGCCATTTTTAAATGCCTGTCAGTTTCCAGAGTTTATAGTCAGAATAAGATGTAGTGTGAGTCAGTAAAATTCCATACTGTTGCCAATTTGATTTTTTTAGTTTTAAATTAATGTCAGCATATGATACATTTTGTACAATTAGTATAATGCATATTTGTACACTCATTAGAGTTGTCAAATTATGTGGGAATAATATACAGATTTTCGTTCTATCAACTTGAAATATATTTGTACTTTTGATTTCGATCAAAACACACTGAGGATCAGAACAGTCATTGCAGTCATAAATCATATTACTTTTTATATATCATTTATATCGATCGATGTGCATGATTCACGATTAAAGATATAAGAACAGAGTCGCTCCTCTCGCTAATAAATGCGGAATAGCTTCCGTTGTTCCTTTTGTCTATCAGAGGTCATATTCTTTGTACCCACCACCTACACCACCACCATTAACAACAACAACAACAACAACAACAACAACAACAACAACAACAACAACAACAACAACAACAACAACTCTTTGTACAGACTTTACACAGCTGGCCATTTTTTTCGTTTTATCCAATCATACTCTCACCTATGTATAACGAGTTATCTACATTGACCAGAGGACGGATGTATGCAAGTGTCTAGACCCCTCCACGGTGTTGCTGCTGAGCAGGACCCATGACTCTCTGTGTAACGTCACGTGTGGAGAGGGGCAGGAGCAAGGGACAACATGTGGTGGAGTGCAGGAAAACGTGGTCTCGTTGTACAGGACTTCCGGTTAGTACATTATAACAATGACCGTTGTCTACAAATCTTTTCCTATTTGATGTGAATGTTCATAGATAATGGAACCATTTTGATTTGAGACCTCATCGAAATATTTATAACACGAACAATACTCAAGAGTCAAATAAATATAAAGATGTCTTCCACCGTTAAAATGACGAAAGAATAGCTTTCCAATTATAACTTGGAGTTAAAATGGAAAATTACACGACTACTGAGGTCATTGTGTGTAGAGAACTATCGGTTTGAGTATCTCGTCTGTGCATTAGAGAATGCTTTCTCAATATTACCGTGTCCACACCTACGTCATTTAGTGCTCGGATTATCGACAGCTTCTTTCCCTGAATATGTTCATGTATCAGCACTGTAGAATCAGACATTTCCGTTTGGTTCAATTTTGTTTGAAAAAAGATAGATAAATAAAATAAAGAAACCTATTTCGTTTCATTGATTTCATTTGTAAATATAGGTCAATAATTTTGCTTAAACTAATTCAAACAATTCATAAACATAAGGATTCGTTGAACAGAGCAGCCATGACAAGCACTCCCCCCTCCCCCTAACTAAAATAATTGACTTCACAGTATCAATAGGAAATCACTGTATGTTCAACCAAATATCGACATCCATCAATTCCAGCTGGAGTGGTTTATAAGGTGTAAACAGGGTAACCTTCTAATTTCGAACTTCTTTTTTACTTTGTTTAAAGATTATCCATACTGGTATCAATGTTTCCTCGGTCGCCTCCTAGGTTTCAGAGTTAGGCCCTAATCATTACTGGCGAGTCCTAGAGGGACAGCAATAAGATGCTGTTTAGATCATTATTTAGCTTAACTGTAACCAATTCTTGGTTTGTAATGAAAGGTGTTATGCACTTATGTGTCTTTTGTACAGCCTAGGTAATGTATTGTATAAGCATGTATTTCTGTAACTGTTCTCCCTTAAAAAGGGTTAAAACTATCGTATGTAATGTAAGAAGAATTGCTTTCACAATATCACAAATGCTCGCGAGTTTTGGTAATGATTTAGACCGTTATGTTATTTCGGTAAATTTGTGTGATGTTTTATGCTGCTAGGAATGGATGAACGACGAAAAATAATATGTGAAGACCACACGGGGAACATCACCTGTCCATCCCATACCATTCTCAACATAATATTTGCAAACTATGGTTTAACAAAACAGGTAGATTCCTGTAAAGGCATTTTCCCATTCTTTCAAGACACTGAATGCAAACACCCAAACTCTACTGCGATAGTACAGAAACTCTGTGGTGGAAAACAGAGTTGTTCGATTACAGCAACAAACACAGTTTTTGAACCTGACCCTTGCAGAGGAACAAACAAATTGCTAAATGTATCCTACACATGTGTACCAAGAGGTTTGTGAATTTTTGTTCTTCCAGTAGCTATCTATTTCACATTTTAGGGCTTGTGGAGCCTGGTGAGTATCTTTTTTCCTATAACTCATTTCAATACTGTTGAACAATATACACTGTGCTTTGCCTTATTGCTCTTGTAGATGTTAAAACCTTTATAAAAATTACGAAAGTTAGCAGCGAAAAGTGCTTATATGTAAATCTAATATACTCAGAGACATTTTCCTTAAATATACAAGTCTATGAAATGATTTGAAAATCAATAGGTTTACTTTACGATTTGATATGATTGTATCATTTTTGTTTCAATATAAGATCATTAATATCATTACTAGGAATGCTACATGAAGAGGTTAAAGGATTACACATATTTATATGTGTGTGTGTGTGTGTGTGCGTTGTTTGCTAAAAGCTTTCCGTTCTTTTCGTAGACACGACAGAAGCCTTGTGTCGAGTGTTTAAAAAAGACACAGATGATATGGTGAATCTGTACTCTGTACCCTGTGATTCACAAATAAATTCCACAGCTTGTGTAATATGTGAGTAATTAACTACAAAGACAGAATCTACACTAAAAACAAGAAAATACCATCATGTCAACATAATCACAATCCAAATTCAAAGTATCTTAAACTAAGGAAAAATATGAAAAAAAAAGGATTTACACGGAGACACCTGAAAAAGCAGAAGGAGAATAAGACCAGGTGTTTCGGAATAGTAAACGTCTTCTGCTTTAGATTTACGCGGAGACAAGTACAAGGAGAATAAGACTAATATCAATTAACACATATTAATGTCACTTTGTCTAGAGATTGTCATTACAAGTCTTGAGTAAATGCAATGTCGAACTTTGAAAAGGTCTAATTTCATTACAACTATCATGTTTATACATAAAGGTAGAAACAAGCCAACATCACCTGTTTTCAGTTTGTTGTTGTATCGATTAGGTTTATTATCCAACTAAGTTGGACAAATGTTATAGAACTATATTTATTAAGTACATGTATATGGTTTGTTTACCTTCCGTCACCACTGGTTTGTTGACATTTTCTGTGATTTCTTGTTTTTCATCCTATCCGAGATTGGTTTGTTGCCATTTTCTGTGATTTCGTGTTTTTCATCCTATCCGAGATTGGTTCGTTTACATTTTGTGTGATTTCTTGTTTTTCATCCTATCCGAGATTTGTTTGTTGACATTTTGTGTGATTTCGTGTTTTTCATCCTATCCGAGATTGGTTTGTTGACGTTTTCTGTGATTTCGTGTTTTTCATCCTATCCGAGATTGGTTTGTTTACATTTTGTGTGATTTCGTGTTTTTCATCCTATCCGAGATTGGTTTGTTGACATTTTGTGTGATTTCGTGTTTTTCATCCTATCCGAGATTGGTTTGTTGACATTTTCTGTGATTTCGTGTTTTTCATCCTATCCGAGATTGGTTTGTTGACATTTTGTGTGTGATTTCGTGTGATTTCGTGAGATTTTTCATCCTATCCGAGATTGGTTTGTTGACATTTTGTGTGATTTCGTGTTTTTCATCCTATCCGAGATTGGTTTGTTGACATTTTCTGTGATTTCGTGTTTTTCATCCTATCCGAGATTGGTTTGTTGACATTTTCTGTGATTTCGTGTTTTTCATCCTATCCGAGATTGGTTCGTTTACATTTTCTGTGATTTCTTGTTTTTCATCCTATCCGAGATTTGTTTGTTGACATTTTGTGTGATTTCGTGTTTTTCATCCTATCCGAGATTGGTTTGTTGACGTTTTCTGTGATTTCGTGTTTTTCATCCTATCCGAGATTGGTTTGTTTACATTTTGTGTGATTTCGTGTTTTTCATCCTATCCGAGATTGGTTTGTTGACATTTTGTGTGATTTCGTGTTTTTCATCCTATCCGAGATTGGTTTGTTGACATTTTCTGTGATTTCGTGTTTTTCATCCTATCCGAGATTGGTTTGTTGACATTTTGTGTGATTTCGTGTTTTTCATCCTATCCGAGATTGGTTTGTTGACATTTCTGTGATTTCGTGTTTTTCATCCTATCCGAGATTGGTTTGTTGACATTTCTGTGATTTCGTGTTTTTCATCCTATCCGAAATTGGTTTGTTGACATTTTGTGTGATTTCGTGTTTTCATCCTATCCGAGATTGATTTGTTGACATTTTGTGTGATTTCGTGTTTTTCATCCTATCCGAGATTGGTTTGTTGATATTTCTGTGATTTCGTGTTTTTCATCCTATCCAAGATTGGCTTGTTGACATTTTGTGTGATTTCGTGTTTTTCATCCTATCCGAGATTGGTTTGTCGACATTTTCTGTGATTTCGTGTTTTTCATCCTATCCGAGATTGGTTTGTCGACATTTTCTGTGATTTCGTGTTTTTCATCCTATCCGAGATTGATTTGTTGACATTTTCTGTTTCTGTGATTTCGTGTTTTTCATCCTATCCGAGATTGGTTTGTTGACATTTTGAGTGATTTCGTGTTTTTCATCCTATCCGAGATTGATTTGTTGACATTTTGAGTGATTTCGTGTTTTTCATCCTATCCGAGATTGGTTTGTCGACATTTTCTGTGATTTCGTGTTTTTCATCCTATCCGAGATTGGTTTGTCGACATTTTCTGTGATTTCGTGTTTTTCATCCTATCCGAGATTGATTTGTTGACATTTTCTGTTTCTGTGATTTCGTGTTTTTCATCCTATCCGAGATTGGTTTGTTGACATTTTGAGTGATTTCGTGTTTTTCATCCTATCCGAGATTGATTTGTTGACATTTTGAGTGATTTCGTGTTTTTCATCCTATCCGAGATTGGTTTGTTGACATTTTGTGTGATTTCGTGTTTTTCATCCTATCCGAGATTGGTTTGTTGACATTTTGTGTGATTTCGTGTTTTTCATCCTATCCGAGATTGATTTGTTGACATTTTGACAAAGGTGTCTCTACATCCTATGATATTAAAACAAATGAAGGAATAACATTGAAAAGAAATATGTTTAACATCTTCAGATAACGAAACCACGGGGAAAGATGAATTGAATATATATCGTCATAACGGGAAATGGGACTATGCTACACAGACCCTGTGTTATCAAGGATATATACCTGCGTTGGATAATGCAACCAAAATGGAATTATTAGAAAGAGCAAAGATAAATGATTCCATATGGAGCGGATATATAAGACAACGAATCGACCTTAACGATAGCGGTAAAGGCAATCTTTGGCAACATTTAATACACATATGATATTGTGCGTAAACTAGGGATCGATCACTCCGCATGCTGGGATCTTCTGATATCAACAAAACATGTCAATAGAATCATGATCCAAAATCAATCAAATCAAGGCAAAATATGAACATTAGATTAAACATGAACGTCTTTAAAGGTACAAGACAAACGTCAAATATCTGGTTCAGAACAAAACAGATACGACAATTATTTAGTTCATTATATGAAACACAAAACAAATATTTGGTTTAGAAATACAGCAAATATTTAGTTCATTATGTGGAGCAATTGTCTTATTCAATATATCAAATTGCATTTCTTCATTGCAATGCACTTTTTTCTTCTCCTAGATATTGACGTGAACACAAGTAGCTATATTCAATGTTACGCACAGGTAAACGGTGCCCGTGTTAGGGCAAACTGCACAGAGGAACGACGATTCATATGCCGGAGAGGTAATAGTGTTGTAGTTTGGTTTTCAAATGATCTCTCGCTTTCTATTTTCTTCTTCAGCAGTCATTGCAACTGGTTGCGTTGCAAAATGCTCTATAGAATACTTACAAAAATTAAGTAAACGCATGAACAATGTATTTATATATCCCAATGACAATGCTTATTCCATTCACGAAACAAGACTTTTAACCCGCCAATTTGTAAAACTAACAACACTTTTAATAGCTTCTTCCTCTCTGTTTTCGCACTCTAATAATAATGATATTAATCTTTACAATGTCTCTTCATATGCTAATTCTAAAAATGTGTTAAACAAAGACAGAATTCGTAATAGTGAACTTATTAGAATCTTTAAAACTGACGGTGATAGAAAGGCAGACATTACTCTCTCTCATCTTCGAAACAATTGAAGTAGCCTTAATTTTGATTTATACATTAACCATTTTGTTGATAGCCCCACATGTCCCTGTACCTATGAATTTAAATCAGTTTCTTGTTATATTCTGGAATGCCCCCTCTATGATAAATTGAGAGTCGATATGTTTACTTGTATCAGAAACTATTCTGATAACCATAATAATATAAATATTAATATTTTGTAATATGGTTGTCCTGACTGTGGTGGAAATTCCAACAGACAAATGTTTAGTGAAATTTTCTACTTAATTGGAAAATCTCAGGCCTTCAAATTTAACATGTCATGATAAGCCATAACATTGACATGCTTATTCTTAATTGACTTGATAAATGCTATCAAAAACAGATTTCAATTCGACTTTGGGATATGATTCTGGTTGGGCACTCATATATATAATGAATTTATTTTCTCCTATAATTGATGCTGATACACCTTACTATTAAAATACTTATATTAAGTATACATTGTGTCTAATTAATGTTATATCATAATCATCTAACTTCAGTAATTGTGTGGTAGTAATGTCCAGTGCATTAGTTACATTATATAAACAGTTGGTCACTCTACCATTAACTGTTCCTATTCCATGTACACTATACTACAAATGTTATCATTGATGATAGTGTAGATGTAGTGTCTGTGTGAATGAGGGTGTGTGTTTATCTGTTATACGTTGTAAGTTGTGAGTTACCTCCCTTGATTGTGTACGTATAGTATAGATGTAGTCCATACCTGTGTCTGTGTGAATGAGGGTGTGTGTTTATCTGTTATACGTTGTAAATTGTGAGTAATCTCCCTTGATTGTGTTGTGTACGTATAGTGTAGATGTAATCCATACCTGTGTCTGTGTAAATGATGGTGTGTATTTATCTGTTATACGTTGTAAGTTGTGAATTACCTCCCTTGATTGTGTTGTGTACTTATAACTGCTTTTTAAAAAAAAAATCGAATGTTTTACTTAAGCTACTTAAGATTTTATACATTGCCTCTTATTCAATCCACTTGACTATACCATTTGCCAATACAATTCGTTGGAAGGAAATGAAAACAATATATGTACTTTAAAACTTTGACAATTTTAAAGAAAATAAGATGTAATGTAGGTCCGTCCATTCTCTGTGTAAATCTAGATGAAACGATAATGGTATGTTTATTGTCACCCAAGAATTCCCTACTGATATTCTGATTTTTTTCTATAACGACCTTAGTACCACTGGTGGTTTTTATGCATGTCTGCTCTCCTGGGAAGTCAACATATATGTAATTAAACAGCGGTATCTCATTCCGAATTCCGAACAGATCAAACACTTGACTTGAATCATCTAAATACTGTGCTATATTGGCAAGTTTTCCAATGCAAACTAAACTGGTGGTGAGAATTCCAGAACAGCAATTTTAATGCCACTTCCGTTGAGCTGAGTGTAGTTTGACATTTTCAAACTTGTTTATTTTCACCAGTTACATCTATGAACGGAAGTGACCCGAACTCTCGGCCAACAATGATTTCTAACCCCACTATGGAAAACGCGGCAACGACACAACCATCCAGTAACAACAAGCGGACGGACAGAGATTTCAAAGAAGGTGATTCTTCTTCCGTTTCCAGTTTTTGCTGCTTTGGTTACTAAAATGTTTGCATTACTGAGTTTAATCATATCATCATTGCAAAATTTATATTTTTTTCAGGTTTTGTCACCCCACCTACAACTGTAACTACAACTAGACGAAGAACAACTGCCCCATTACCAAAACCTTTTAAAAGTTCGCGGGAGGATACGAAGATAATTGGAAGTAAGTAACAATTTGCCCTTTTTTGTTTTAATTTCCTTATCACACGATGATGTAGTCGAGGTTATCATAGTCAAAACTCTCAAAATTTTTTTATCTCTAACTCGTATAACTCGACGACCCTGGTTAATTCGAAACAACTCAATTATTTGGTCCCCTCACTTAAATGAAATACTCGGTTATCTCGAGGTTTCCCCGTGAGTGCCGAGTTCGAGATGACGAGGTTCGACTATACCTATAAATCTGTCTAACAAGTTTTTTTAGGACAGTATTTGTTATTTTAGGTAATGCCTTTTGAAACTAGCATTATGCTGCCAACGATTCATCTGTTGTCTGGAAAACCCCCTTTTTGTGCGAATGATATATTGCCGCAATCTTTTAACATATACTTGTTTATAGTTCACCACAAATTTGAAATTCTCAGGAAAGTTGTTCTGTGCTGTGTTTGTTTTTAAGTTTTGTTTATTTATTTCACTTTGTATTTGATTTATGTAATACATATGAGAAATTGAAATACGTTTCCTTAGAAATAACCTACATTTTACGCCTTAAAGCACTAGTATTAAGCAGGGTTCCTCCTGTACCACAACCCTTATTTGTTTATATGTATTTCCTACGTACATGTCAACTGTGTCATTTCTGTCTCTATACGTTATGTGTTCTAAATGATTTGAGGTTAAAGCTAGCAGTAAACCAATATAATATCAAAGGTCATGTCTTTATATCTATTATCATCCCTGTCTTGTATTCACAGAGACCAATATGTTTGAGGGATTCACTCTAGCTGAGCATACACTCAAAAAAGGTCGAAGCCAATTAACTAAATTGAATTTTAAGTAATACGTAAGGGTTTTGTTCTGTTAATGCTTTCTTTTATAAATATTCTGTAACATTTGTTACCAGTTGTCTCGGGGATTGCCGTCGGGTGCATCGTCGTGGTAGTGGTGACAGCAGTCGCTGTGTACAAGTTATGCAAAAGGTATGTAAATACTATCTACTTTTTCAGAAGCAAATACTGCCTTAAAAGATACGTAACCATTATAGAAAGTCGGCTGATGCCGTTACGTTCTGTTAGGCTCTGATTTCATTCATTGCGTGGCATTCTTCATCCAAGAATTTCTTAAGTTGTTCCTGTAAGGATCTTTTTCTCATTTCTTTGTTATTCTAGAATATTTTTGTATGCGTTCCTAATACATAGTCTATGAGATCTACAGATGCAAAGTGTTATATTTAAAATTCCAACACTGAAGATGCAATGTTAATTTCATTTAGATTTGATAGACAATAAGTATCGAATGGTCTCAATCAAAAATTTGTAAAAAAAAAAAAAAAAAAAACTGTGTCTGATTTTTAAAATATTCGAGTTTATTGTGAACGCTTAATTAAATCAAATGAATATGTACTCATATTTTAGGAAAACCATGATATTTGAGTCCAAAGAAAGTGTTTATACAATACATAAGATATTTTCAGGTGTGTGTCGTCAAAATATTAGTTTTATTGACGGGTGATAACTTTTAGTTATTTTTTTTGCATATTCATTGCCAGGTGTCTTAGTTATGGCTATTGACGGTAGAACTCATTTCAAATATCTTTATATGAAAATGAAGTATGAAACATTGTAGGATTGGCACTTGAAGATTAATTCTAACTCTATCGATAACACGATCATCACTTGATCACTATTTGGACTTTAGGCGAACATCAGTTCAAGATCTAGCACCCGTTAAATAAACTATCTACAAACAAGTACAGTATACACATCTTGTTAACTGTTTATGTTTCTACTGTATGTTATCAGGTCTGTAAGAAAGAAAGGACAGAAGAAGAAAAGGACGAAAAATAAGCCCGTTAAGCTAAAAGATATCGTAGTAAGTGCTGAACTTCCTAAAAACGATGCACGCTTGGACTCTTCAACGGACGAATCAGAAGATGAAACGAAGTTTACAGTCGGTGACCCGTCAGGAGGAGTCCCAAAACTACCATCAGTATCCTACAACTACGATACTGTTTGCGAAACAGGGGCCGACAAGGGTCATGTAAATGACGCGTATGCTTACGCGGAAACCAAATCGACTAGCTCTGACGAAGGATTGTATAACTCGATGGAGTTACTTGTTGACGCCAGTGATGACGATGACTTATACGCCACTACAATGCTTCCTCTGCCAGATAACGATGTCAAAGACGACGTTGCTATGCAACCAGACGGCGATACATATGACGTCATGAATTCAAAAGTCAGAGTTCCAGGAAATGAATCGGCGTATGACCATACGACCAAGGTTTGCTTTTTGAATGGAGCAACGGTCGATACAGCCTATGATGTGTTCAATCGAAAGGTTATGGACGGTGTAGAAGACACGTATGATCATACACAAAGTAGTCCAAAAAATGGCGGCGATCTAAACAACTCAGCGTATGATGTTTTTAACAAAAAGAACAGCGGTAAAGAAGATAGTGGTAGCATGTATGACAGCACCAGAGGTGCGACACAATGTTTTCATGCAGGTGGCGTGACATCAAATGACATTTATGATACATGTAATGAAAAGCCCACTATCGCTGATGATGTTGATGACTTGTACGACCACGCAAGCCATACGCGCGCGAATCAAGACGAAAATTTATATGATCTCACACCCAAACACCAAGTAGCACAAACAGTCAATGACAATCCTTACGATCGTATATGAGACTTCCGTATCCGAATTTTAAAGACAAATGTACACATGAGAGGAATTATCCATACAATTCTGGAATACACATCACGATAATAAGTGTTGAATTTACACGCTAGAATTGAGGTCACTGTAAGATATTGACGAATTGAAAGCTAGTGTACATCAGTAATTGGATTGAAAGGTTGCTACGGCTGAAGTTTGTAAAGTTTTCTGATACTGTATATCATGTGAACTACAACTATCTGTTCGAAGAATCAAGTCTAAAAAGTAACTCAGTGAAATGTTATTGTTTTGCATTAGGGTTTTAAACGACAATGCTTTGACTTGATATGAAGAAAAACTAAATGAACAATTCACTTTTAAGCGGGCCGATATTGAGCCGTAGTATAGTGCCAGCGGGCCGATTGTATACTACGTTTAGTGCCAGCGGGCCGATATTGGGCCGTAGTATAGTGCCAGCGGGCCGATTGTATACTACGTTTAGTGCCAGCGGGCCGATGGTATACTACGTCTAGTGTCATTCATTCATTCATATCTTTATTCCTCCATAAGAGAAGAGTTACAGAAATTGTATTAAATATTACATAATCATGGCAATAACATAGTTAATTTTCAATGAAACGAAAAAGAAAAATATAGATATAAAATATAAGACAAATACATATTTAGAGACAGATATAAGATAAGGAAAACGAAAAAAACTAGGAGAAGGACTCAAATTGCTACAAGGTAGAGGAATTTTAGGTTTATCTTAACAAAATGTAAGAAGGCATGCCGATTGTATACTGCGTTAAGTGCCAGCGGGCCGATTGTATACTACGTTTAGTGCCAGCGGGCCGATTGTATACTACGTTTAGTGTTAGCGGGCCGATATTGGGCCGATTGTATACTACGTTTAGTGTTAGCGGGCCGATATTGGGCCGATTGTATACTGCGTTTAGTGCCAGCGGGCCGATTGTATACTACGTTTAGTGCCAGCGGGCCGATATTGGGCCGATTGTATACTACGTTTAGTGTTAGCGGGCCGATATTGGGCCGATTGTATACTACGTTTAGTGCCAGCGGGCCGATTGTATACTACGTTTAGTGCCAGCGGGCCGATTGTATATTACGTTTAGTGCCAGTGGGCCGATTGTATACTACGTTTAGTGCCAGCGGGCCGATTGTATACTACGTTTAGTGCCAGCGGGCCGATTGTATAATACGTTTAGTGCCAGCGGGCCGATTGTATATTACGTTTAGTGCCAGCGGGCCGATTGTATACTACGTTTAGTGCCAGCGGGCCGATTGTATACTACGTTTAGTGTTAGCGGGCCGATATTGGGCCGATTGTATACTACGTTTAGTGCCAGCGGACCGATTGTATACTACGTTTAGTGCCAGCGGGCCGATTGTATATTACGTTTAGTGTTAACGGGCCGATTGTATACTACGTATAGTGTCAGCGGGCCGGTATTGGGCCGATTGTATACTACGTTTAGTGCCAGCGGGCCGATTGTATACTACGTTTAGTGCCAGTGGGCCGATTGTATACTACGCTTAGTGCCAGCGGGCCGATTGTAGACTACGTTTAGTGCCAGCGGGCCGATTGTATACTACGTTTAGTGCCAGTGGGCCGATTGTATACTACGCTTAGTGCCAGCGGGCCGATTGTATACTACGTTTAGTGCCAGCGGGCCGATTGTATACTACGTTTAGTGCCAGTGGGCCGATTGTATACTACGTTTAGTGCCAGTGGGCCGATTGTATACTACATTTAGTGCCAGCGGGCCGATTGTATACTACGTTTAGTGTCAGCGGGCCGATATTGGGCCGATTGTATACTACGTTAAGTGCCAGTGGGCCGATTGTATACTACGTTTGGTGCCAGTGGGCCGATTGTATACTACGTTTAGTGCCAGTGGGCCGATTGTATACTACATTTAGTGCCAGCGGGCCGATTGTATACTACGTTTAGTGTCAGCGGGCCGATATTGGGCCGATTGTATACTACGTTTAGTGTTAGCGGGCCGATATTGGGCCGATTGTATACTACGTTTAGTGCCAGTGGGCCGATTGTATACTACGTTTAGTGCCAGTGGGCCGATTGTATACTACGTTTAGTGCCAGTGGTCCGATTGTATACTACATTTAGTGCCAGCGGGCCGATTGTATACTACGTTTAGTGTCAGCGGGCCGATATTGGGCCGATTGTATACTACGTTTAGTGTCAGCGGGCCGATATCGGGCCGATTGTATACTACGTTTAGTGTCAGCGGGCCGATATTGGGCCGATTGTATACTACGTTTAGTGCCAGTGGGCCGATTGTATACTACGTTTAGTGCCAGTGGGCCGATTGTATACTACGTTTAGTGCCAGTGGGCCGATTGTATACTACATTAAGTGCCAGCGGGCCGATTGTATACTACGTTTAGTGTCAGCGGGCCGATATTGGGCCGATTGTATACTACGTTTAGTGTCAGCGGACCGATTGTATACTACGTTTAGTGTCAGCGGACCGATTGTATACTACGTTTAGTGTTAGCGGGCCGATATTGGGCCGATTGTATACTACGTTTAGTGCCAGCGGGCCGATTGTATACTACGTTTAGTGTCAGCGGGCCGATATTGGGCCGATTGTATACTACGTTTAGTGTCAGCGGTCCGATATTGGGCCGATTGTATGCTGCGTTTAGTGCCAGTGGGCCGATTGTATACTACGTTTGGTGCCAGTGGGCCGATTGTATACTACGTTTAGTGCCAGTGGGCCGATTGTATACTACATTTAGTGCCAGCGGGCCGATTGTATACTACGTTTAGTGTCAGCGGGCCGATATTGGGCCGATTGTATACTACGTTTAGTGTTAGCGGGCCGATATTGGGCCGATTGTATACTACGTTTAGTGCCAGTGGGCCGATTGTATACTACGTTTAGTGCCAGTGGGCCGATTGTATACTACGTTTAGTGCCAGTGGTCCGATTGTATACTACATTTAGTGCCAGCGGGCCGATTGTATACTACGTTTAGTGTCAGCGGGCCGATATCGGGCCGATTGTATACTACGTTTAGTGTCAGCGGGCCGATATCGGGCCGATTGTATACTACGTTTAGTGTCAGCGGGCCGATATTGGGCCGATTGTATACTACGTTTAGTGCCAGTGGGCCGATTGTATACTACGTTTAGTGCCAGTGGGCCGATTGTATACTACGTTTAGTGCCAGTGGGCCGATTGTATACTACATTTAGTGCCAGCGGGCCGATTGTATACTACGTTTAGTGTCAGCGGGCCGATATTGGGCCGATTGTATACTACGTTTAGTGTCAGCGGACCGATTGTATACTACGTTTAGTGTCAGCGGACCGATTGTATACTACGTTTAGTGCCAGCGGGCCGATTGTATACTACGTTTAGTGTCAGCGGGCCGATATTGGGCCGATTGTATACTACGTTTAGTGTCAGCGGTCCGATATTGGGCCGATTGTATGCTGCGTTTAGTGCCAGTGGGCCGATTGTATACTACGTTTAGTGCCAGTGGGCCGATTGTATACTACGTTTAGTGCCAGTGGGCCGATTGTATACTACATTAAGTGCCAGCGGGCCGATTTTTGGCGGTTGCAGTCGCGGCAGATTTTTTTTTCTGTATTGGTTTTTTATCGTTATGTTATGATGTCACAACTCGACAAATTACGTCAGTATGGAGTGAAAACTACGTCACTCTGTTGTACTGGACGTCAACACGGAGGGAATACAATGTTTTTAAACATGGCGATGCCTTGGTTCCGCGTTTTTTCCACCAGAACTACAAAGGAGATTTTTTTTAGAAATGCTGGAACCAGGAATATCTCTGCCAGACGGTTGCTTTCTTTAACCTATTATTTAACGTGATTTGATTCGGGAAATAGTTTGACAGACAAACAGGTTATGTCTAATATACACCCGTTCCGTAATGCTAACTTTGTACACATAGCAGCATTGTATTTCGCTATAATATACCCACGATTTTATGTTTAAATTTTTGTGCAGATATTATTGTATTAAACAAAAATTCATCTATGTATGCTGTCATTGTGTATTTAATATTGGCGTCACATCATGAAATCAAAGTGTCAGACCCTTTTCAACAACATAGTAAAATACAAGAAAACTGATTTGATTATCAAAATCATAACTTGTCTTCTTTTCAACTCAATTCTGTTGATTTTAATTCAAGAAAAAATCGGTTTGGACAGATCTTCTTGAAAAATCAAAACGAACAATAGATAAATAGATAAATAACATGCTAAATGTAATTAAGTTGCTTCTCTGTATTCTCAAACATACAAGACTATGTCTGAGAAAACCTGGTTTGTCGTTCTACGCGAGACTATGAGAGTGGAGACCAATGACCATAAGCGAATTCGAAGGTCTCTTAGCGGTTACTATCAATATGGGGTTCATAAAGAAACCAACAGTCAGCGAATTCTGGAACTCAAAGCACGACAGCCAATGTACCACGTGGTTTCAATTAATCTTGAATTGTGTCCATATCACCAACAAAAAAGTATTCGAACGGAACTACTCGACATACAAGTAGATCTTTTGCATTTTTTTGATAATGTGGTGTATATAAGGAAAACGCACTTGTTCTATTTTGTGCCCAATATAAAGGATAAGATAGATGAGGTTTGTAATATGAAATGCATCATCTAACCCACCATGTATATAATATACTCAGCATTAATAATTTCCATATACATTTTACTTTTATTTACTGAAAAAGAACAGGGGTTTGTTTCATACAAATACATGGTCAAAACACTATCAGATGGGAACTGTAATGCTGTTTCCCAAACCGAATGAATTAACCCTTACATATCAAGATCATTATACAATTACCCTGACAACCAATCAGACTCGAATGTACAACTCAGATAATGGAAAGATATATATTATCAGCATACAAAACCAGTGTACTTTATACCAACATGGAGAATAAGATATTTGTGTAATCCGAGCATCATATACGCTTAGGCATACAATGCCATATATTTATCTCGTCTTTCTAACATAGAAAATCAAATCACGAAGGCCTTTTTATCACCTGTTCCCCTGACCACACGGTGATACACGTTTTGAATACAGTAGGATACCAGTCTGTAGTCGATGACAGGGATACACGTCCTGGCTTCAATAGGATACCAGCCTATAGGCTATAACGGGGATACACATGCTGAATACAGGATACCAGCCTATAGGCTATAACGGGGATACACGTGCTGAATACAGTAGGATACCAGCCTATAGCCTATGACGGGGATACACGTGATGAATACAGTAGGATACCGGTCTGTAGCCTATGACGGGGAAACACGTGCTGAATACACTAAGGATACCAGTCATTATCCTTTGACGAGAACACGTGCAGAATACAGTAGGATACCAGTCTGTAGCCTATGACGGGGATACACGTGCTGAATACAGTAAGATACCAGTCTGTAGCCTATGACGGGGATACACGTGCAGAACACAGTAGGATACCAGTCTGTAGCCTATGACGGGGATACACGTGTTGAATACAGTAGGATACCAGTCTGTAGTCTATGACGGGGATACACGTGCTGAATACAGTAGGATACCAGTCTGTAGTCTATGACGGGGATACACGTGCAGAACACAGTAGGATACCAGTCTGTAGCCTATGACGGGAATACACGTGCTTGCTTCAGTAGGATACCAGTCTGTAGCCTATGACGGGGATACACGTGCTGAATACAGTAGGATACCAGTCTGTAGTCTATGACGGGGATACACGTACTGAATACAGTAGGATACCAGTCTGTAGCCTATGACGGGGATACACGTGCTGGTTTTAGTAGGATATCAACCTGTATCTCAATTTTGAATTTTTTGATACAGTAAAAGAAATTAAAAAAAAAAACATATTTTGAATATTCTATATTGTAAAATACACGAGAGATAATATCTTTTCTACCATTCTACTTTAATTTATTCCACTCTCAGGCCATTGTGTAAATATGGCGGGTGTTGGATAAATATAAGTGATATTCCACTAGTGGTATATGGCCTTCCGGATACATGATTAGTGAACTTTGACCCGAACTACTTTTTTCACTCGCGTGATTTGTTCCACGTCTGCTGTCAACATCACAGGCACTCGAGGCCAGGATATTATTTTTTAAACATTGATTTTTGTTTTAGCACTCATGACTGACGTTATTTAAACGAAATATCAGCAGAATTCAAGTTTATGTGCCGGTTGACAAATCCGAGGTCCACGGTCATTAAAAATACACAAGGCAAGCAACTCCAGATTTTAAAAAATCGACCCCTCGGGAAACTGGCTCAAAAAAAGTAGTTATGTTATGATAAGTTCCTTGTAAAACAATATGTATCCGTAGGTAGTGAGTATATTTACCTTTTATTTGGTGCATAACATTACAGGCAACGAGAAATTCACAATACGTACATGAGATTAACATCTCAATAACCGGAGATTTTATCGTCCATATAATTATCTTTGACGGAAGTATCATGCCATTTCAAGGGCGGTCACTCCGACTTTTTGAGAGAGGAGTTCCGGATAGCACTATACCAGTGAACAGGTAAGAAAGGTTCCGATGTCATTACGCGCGTAACTTCAAAATAGATATTTTTATTTCTACAAATACATTTGCGGGGATGGAAAAATAATGGCTGGGCAAAGAAAGTCCACATTTGCCAACTCGGATACAATATCATGGTAAGGAATTATACAGAATGCATCAACTATCAATCAAGCTGGCGGTAATGAGAATTTTTTGTTTCCAAAAAAAAAAAAAAAATAAGAAAAAAATCATGCAGATAATGAAAAAAGGGCGCAATTTATGAAAAATATCATGGGGGAAAAATATTTACTTTGAAATTGGAAATTAAATGATTTTTTCCATAGTGATTTTTGTCAAGTTATTGAGAATATTTGAAAAGAAATACATATTACTTATTAACCAAGAGGCCCAAAGGGCTCGTATTGCTACAGGTACTGTATGTTTTGGCAAACATCCATACAATGGACTTCCTGACCAAATATCATGACCCAAGGCCTTTTTGGTTATCAGAAGATGTTATTTAAGTTTTTATCCATGACCTTGAATATAATGTCAAAGTAATATCTTTTCTCAAACTTTGTTGCCCTTCACCCAAGAAACATTTTAACAAACATCATGATCCCTGGACTTTTGGTTAATCGGAATAAGTCGTTTAAAAAATCAACACATTGGACCAAAGTGACCTTGAATAAAGGTCAATGTATTTTTTTTTTGCTGCAAACGGTGTAGGGCTTTATCTAAGGAACGATATTTTTCATAAATTGCGCCTCTTTTCAAATATTCTCAATAACTTGACAAAAATCACTATGGAAAAAATCATTTAATTTCCAATTTCTAAGTTAATATATTTCCCCCACGATATTTTT